AAATCCCAGTCAGTTTACCAGCTGTTAGGATTTCTGGGAGTTGAAGACCAAAACATCTGGGGACCCACAGGTTGAGAACCACTGGTAGACTGAGGGAAGCAATAGTTCCACTCTATTCAAGAGAGATATTGACAAGCTGGAATGTATCCAGAGGAGGGCAACTAAAATGATCAAGGGTCTGGAGAACAAGCCCTATGAGGAGCGGCTTAAAGAGCTGGGCATGTTTAGCCTGAAGAAGAGAAGGCTGAAAGGAGATATGATAGCCATGTATAAATATGTGAGAGGAAGCCACAGGGAGGAGGGAGCAAGCTTGTTTTCTGCTGCCCTGGAGACTAGGACACGAAACAATGGCTTCAAACTACAAGAAAGGAGATTCCATCTGAACATGAGGAAGAACTTCCTGACTGTGACAGCCGTTCAGCAGTGGAATTCTCTGCCCCGGAGTGTGGTGGAGGCTCCTTCTTTGGAAGCTTTTAAACAGTGGCTGGATGGCCATCTGTCAGGGGTGATTTGAATGCAGGGTTCCTGCTTCTTGGCAGGGGGTTGGACTGGATGGCCCATGAGGTCTCTTCCAGCTCTTTGATTCTGTGATTCTATGATTCCATTCAGCTTTCCTCACCTGGGGTAACCCTGGGACCAGTTCTGGATGAAACAATTCAAGAAGGAGATGAGCAAACTGGAATGCGTCCAGAGCAGGACGACCTCAATGATCAAAGGTTTGGAAACCAAGCTCTATGAGTGACGTAGGGAGCTGGGTATGTTTGGCTTGAAGAAGAGAAGGTTGAGCGGGGACATGAGAAGATGGCACACTGAGAAGTTTGTTTTCTGATGCTCTGGAGACTTGGATACAATGGAGCAATGGATTCAAATTGCAGGTAAAGAGATTCAACTTAAACATTGGGAGGAACTTCCTGATGGCAAGAGCTGTTTGGCCATGGAATATGTTGCCTGGGACTGTGGAGGAGCCTTCTTCTCTGGAGGCTTTTAAGCAGAGGTTGGATGACCATCTGTTGGGAGGGCTAGGATGGTGTCTTCCTGCCTGCCAGAAAGGGTTTGGGATAACCCTTAGGATCTATTCCAGGTATGAATCTATGATTCATGGAACTGGGCAAATGTGTCTCCTTTATTTCCTTTCCTTGTTTGTTTTCCATACTCTTGAATTTTTGATGGCAACCTCATTAGGGCAGGGAGCTTCTCACGAATTGGTCCATTGTTTAAATAATGAATCATCCTATCATAGAATTGCTCCGTCACCAAAAGAAGTGACGGATGAAAATGCACTAGCTTCATCATGTTTTCCAGGTTCACCTCCCTCCTCTCTCCATTTATTGAAATGCGGCTTGGAGTCCAGGTGTGCAAACAGGTGTGCACATCGAACGGCTCTCTGGCCCCATTGCCTGCTCCTTGGGAACAAATAGCTTGAATGACTGGAAAAGGAGGGATGAGTCACAGGCAGACACAACTCTTAGGGATGCCTGTTAGGAAAAAGGGATTCCTCCCATTTCAATTAACCTTTGGAGTTAATTTGCATTTGCCTTTCTCCCATTACTTGCCTCCACCTTCAGTAGGTGAGAATCTCTACTGAAAAACCAAGAGAAGCAAAACCAACACTAAAGTGTGCATGTTTCTGTGTGTGTATTAAAAGTCAAATCACATGACACTGAACACATAATCAGATGACAGAAAATCTTACATGCCTTTGGGAAGAAACAGCATTTGAAATGTATTGGAAGAAGGCAAACAGGTGTGGCCTGATCACATTTCCTATGCAGAAAATCCAGCTATATCAAGCATGTGATATTAAAAGGAATGCAATGACTATATATATACACAGTGTTCGCTCACTTATCGCGGGGGTTACGTTCCAGGACCATCCCGTGATAAGTGAAAATCCGTGAAGTAGGGACGCCATAGTAATTGTGATATTTATAAATTACTAGCTGTCCCCTGCCATGCGTTGCTGTGGCCCAGTCTGTTGATCTGGAAAATAAAGTAATGAGAAAGTGTTGGTTTCTAATATATGTAATTTCTTTATGCTTGTGGGTAAACAGTATTTCTTGCTGTTTCTTTGTCAGTGTTGATGTGGAGTTGTCTGGTTTGCCCACCCTGGAACATGCAACATATCATTGTCCTTCTTTAGGGGTCCCTTTCAAATCTATGATACTATATCTCTCTCTGTGTGAATCATATCTATCTATCTATCTATCTATATCTATGGCTGGATGGCTCTTTGTCAGGAGGGCTTTGATTACGTTTTCTTGCCCTGATGAAGGGAGTTGGATTGGATGGCCTTAAGTATTTTCTGTTGGTCATGGGGGTTCTGTGTGGGAAGTTTGCCCTGATTCTGTTGTTCGTGGGGTTCAGAATGCTCTTTGATTGTAGGTGAACTGTGAATCCCAGTGACTACAACTCCCAAATGTCAAGGTCTATTTCCCCCAAACTCCATCTGTATTCATATTTGGGCGTATTGAGTGCTTGTGCCAAGTTTGGTCCAGATCCATCATTGTTTGAGTCCACAGTGCTCTCTGGATGTAGGTGAACTACAACTCCAAAACTCAAGGTCAATGCCCACCAAACCCTTCCAGTATTTTCTGTTGGTCATGGGAGTTCTGTGTGCCAAGTTTGGTTCAATTTCATTGTTGATGGAGTTCAGAATGCTCTTTGATTGTAGGTGAACTATAAATCCCAGCAACTACAACTCCCAAATGACAAAATCATATTTTTTTTGAGTGATGGTCACTCCTTGTGTTGTGAGAGAGACATTTTATTGCCAAATTTGGTGTAGTTTCATTCATTGGTTCTTTTGTTTTTAAGGTACTCATTATGTACTGTCGATGGGTCCGTAGATGACTGTGGAGCCCAATTCTTGATCTGCATCTTCTCCCGCAGTGAGGACATCGGTTTCCAGGTAGAAGGCGGTCCCGGTCGGGGTTGGCTTGACGCGCCTTCCTCTTGGCACATTTCTCTCTTTCCCTCCATTCGTGCCTCTTCAAACTCCAGCACTGCTGGTCACAGCTGACCTCCAACTGGAGCACTCAAGGGCCACGCTGACCTCCAGCTGGAGCGCTCAAGCACCAGCACTTCCCATTTCTCAGCTGTATTAAGATCACTACTGACCAAAAGGTCATGAGTTCGAAGCCAGCCCAGGTCGGAGTGAGCTTCCGACCAATTTTGTGTAGCTTGCTGTTGACCTTTGCAGCCCGAAAGACAGTTGCATCTGTCAAGTAGGAAATTTAGGTACTGCTTATGCGGGAGGCAAATTTAACTAATTTACGAGGCCATAAAAATCTCCAGCAAGCATGCAAAGAATAAGGAAGTACTTCATCAGTGCCACAAATGGTCGGTGAAGGGACAGCTCCCCTGGTGGCCAGAATACCCTCAGAAAAAGCTGGAATGTTAAACTGCCTCTGTGTCTGTCTATATATGTTGTGTGTCTATGGCATTGAATGTTTGCCACGTATATGTACATTGTAATCCGCCCTGAGTCCCCTGCAGGGTAAGACGGGCGGAATATAAATACTGTAAATAAATATAAAATGAATAAATACTGTTTCTGGTTGTTTTGGTGCACAAAGTATCCATGTACAAATTTAGTGTTGAAGAAGATTCCCATTAGTCAGAGATTTTTTTTGTCACTGCAAAAACACTTTTTTCAACCTTTTTCCTAAAAATAATATTCTGTAGCAAAATTTGAAAAAGTTACTTTTCAGGAGGTACAGATCCCAAAGAGAAGTTGTTAATACAGGTCAGGTCTCACTTATTTGGAAATCCAAAATGTTCCATAAATCAAAACTTTTTGTTGGCAGCAGCTCACTTTGGGGGAAAGGGGGCTAGTCACACATTAATTACCCTTGTGCTGTCGCACGCTGGGCCTGTGCATAAGACTGTAAACAGGACATAAATTCTGTGTGCCCAACGGGACGCCGGGGCTGCCTCAGATTAAAGGCCTTTGGATTTCCTTAAAACAGAGTCTTTAGATTGCTTAAAGGTTCAACAAAGTTCTTTATTAATGAAAACAAACAGGTACTTTAAGGCTTTCTTAACAGTTTATTGGCTCTCTCTCAATCTTGTCCACAGGGAACAGGCACTATCTTCATAACTGTAACTAATGGGGAAATCCTTAACTTCTAATCTGGGCAGTCTGTCTTTGCCTCTGTTGGCGTGGAGCCCCTGCACCCGGTACCAACTGCTTCTGGCTTCCGCGAGTGACCCTTACCAAGCAGAGCTTTGTAGACTTCCAGGGAAAAAGGAGTTCAGGTTTCAGTGATGGCTGACTGAAGTCCCTCAGCAAAGGAGCTGTAGGGCTGTATAACCCCGGCCAAGCTGTGGGCTGTATATCTCCCCGGCCAAGCCGTAGAAGACGAAGCTTTCTACAGGAGCTCTTGGTATTATGTCCTGCATGAAAGCTTCTCTGTGTGGACTGAACCAAAATGGCTCCTATTCCTTCTAAAACTCAAAGGGGGCGGGACCAGGGAACCTAACTATAATTGACAGGTGGCTTGCCCTATGATTGCAGCCAAAAGGAAGCCACCTATCTGCAGAGTCCCTGAAACTTAGGACTACAACAAACATTCAATGCAAAGCAAACAAAATTGGAGCTCCTGGTGTAGTTGTACCTGCACAACCCTGCTGGGCTTTTCTAAAGGATCTCTGATGGAGGACAAAGGGAAAAAAATCTCCAAAACACCCCTAGGAAAAAAAAAGAAGGCAGACAAGAAGTGCCTGAAATATCAACAACATTTGACACACGTACTTGTGGTCTCCAGCCCACTGTGGACCAGACACAGTAAGAATGCCACTTGTAAAAGGAAACTTGTTGTCAAAAGTTTCAGTAAGAACGGAAACCACAGAATGATATCTTTCTTCCTGGAGTCCTGCAGAGTACTGAAAACTCCTGCTGAATGCACACTCCAGCTGCTCTTTCATTGAAAAGCAATGGGTGTGACCCATCAGGGGCGGGCCTCGCCTTGGTAAGTAAAAACTGGATTAAATTACCTTCCTTTAGGACATGCCCTCTTCTGTCAAAAGGTAGCACAGCAGACGCGAGGACGGAGGCAACAACCAGACTGGAAGGGACTCTGTGACGCCCAGGAGAAAGTGGGGAGAAGAAGGGGCACTGAGCCATTCCACAGCCTGGACTTCACAACAAGGTAAAGGACACTTTGGGGGATCTTTGGCTTTCAGCAAAACCCCTTCCTTATGTCTGCAATGCGTGGCAGGAGGGACCTGACTCTGAGTTGGGTGCCAGAACATGAAAGGGTATCATTTGAAAGAATCTGGTTCTATCGGTGCTTCTCAATCTTCCGAATGCCACAACCCCTTAATACAGTTCCTCGTGTTGTGGTGACCCCCAACCACAACATTATTTTTGTCGCTGTAATTTTGCTACTGTTATGAATCGTAATGTAAATATCTGATATGCAGGATGTATTTTCATTCACTGGACCAAACTTGGCACAAATACCAGACATGCCCAAATCTGAATACTGGCCGGGTTTGGGGAGGATTGATTTTGTCATTTGGGAGTTGTAGTTACTGGGATTTATAGTTCGCCTACAATCAAAGAACATTCTGAACTCCACCAAGGATGGAATTGAGCCAAACTTGGCACACAGAACTCCCAACAGAAAATACGGGAAGGGTTTGGTGGGCATTGACCTTAAGTTTGGGAGTTGTAGTTCACCTACATCCAGAGAGCACTGTGGACTTAAACAATGATGGATATGGACCAAATTTGGCATGAATACTCAGTAGACCCAAATGTGAACACTGGTGGGGTTTGGGGGAAATAGACCTTGACATTTGGGAGTTGTAGTTGTTGGGATTTATAGTTCGCCTATGATCACAGAGGATTCTGAACTCCACCAATGCTGGAATTGAATCAAACTCGGCACACAAAACTCCCATGACCAACAAAAAATACTGGAAGGGTTTGTTGGGCATTGACCTTGAGTTTGGGAATTATAGTTCTACATCCAACGGGCACAGTGGATTCAAACAATGATAGATCAGGACCAAACTTGGCATGAATACTCAATATGTCCATATGTGATCACTGGTTGAGTTTGGGGAAAATAGACCTTGACATTCAGGAGTTGTAGTTGCTGGGATTTATAGTTCACCTACAATTAGAGAGTATTCTGAACTCCACCAATGCTGGAATTGAATCAAACTCGGCATACTCAGTAGGCCCAAATGTGAACACTGGTGGGGTTTGGGTAAAATAGACCTTGACTTTTGGAGTTGTAGTTGCTGGGATTTCTAGTTCACCTACAATCAAAGAGTATTCTCAACCCTACCAACAATAGAATTAGGCCAAACTTCCCACACAGAATCCCCATCACTAACAGAAAATACTGTGTATTCTGGTGGTCTTTGGTGACCCCTCTGACACCCCCTCCAGAGGTCCTGACCCCCAAGTTGAGAAACACTTGGTTATATGGAAAGGAGAACACAGAAAGAGACATAGCACGGAGCAGGGAAAGTATATTCAGTTTAACCTGATCCATTCCAGGCAAAAGGGTCCTTCAGGAGATTCCATCTGAACATGGGGAAGAACTTCCTGACTGAGAGAGCCGTTCAGCAGTGGAACTCTCTGCCCCGGAGTGTGGTGGAGGCTCCTTCTTTGGAAGCTTTTAAACAGATGCTGGATGGCCATCTGTCAGGGGTGATTTGAATGCAATATTCCTGCTTCTTGGTAGGGGGTTGGACTGGATGGCCCATGAGGTCTCTTCCAACTCTTTGATTCTATGATTCATGCAAAAGGCAATTCAATTTAGAAAGGGTCCTGCATATTTTTGTCAACTTTGGTACAGTCACATTTTCTTTTTTTCCAGCCAGAATGCAACACTTGGCCATTAAAATTAGTACTAAATTACTGATTGAAAAATTGCAACAAAAAGCAAAGGAACAAACGTCAAGAAAAAGGTGGCAGAAAGATCTGCAAAGTGTGTCTTCTTTTCTTTTCCGTCCCACTGGATGTCTTGTTTGGAAGACAAGGGAAGAAAAGGGATTCTCTTCCCAAGTCGAAATGCATTTCCGAGACAATAGCCGGGTTTGTCTTCCGAGAGGCTAGTACAGTCTAATTGTCACCAACCAAGTAATTATCCCTGTTTTGTTCAATGCGGGTGACTCACCCGATGCGCGGCAGGAGCTGGTTTTAATTTAAAGTTTGCTGTTCTGCAGAATTGTTTATCCCAGGAAGGTCGGTCGGAGGATATTCCGACATGGATTTTCATGTCTGGTGAACGATTGTTTTAGTCGAAGCAATGGCTTGACCTTGCGTCTCCGCTTTTGTCTTGTGGTTTGAAAAATATTTTATGTAACACAGCTGCATAAATACAATTGGAAGGGCCTCAGCGGCCTGTATTCTTTCCCCCTGAAATGGTTGCCTCTCCTCCTACTCACAGACACTATTAATTTGGGATGCAAAGCAGGCTCGTGACGAACTCAGTCTTTAGCTAAGGTTGGCTGCAAGGTATACAGCATTGTGGGGTGTTTGTAAAAAAGAGAGTGCTAGCTAAGTCCATCAGGTGTTTGACTTAGCAAAAAGGAAGTCTGTGCATTTATTTTCTTTCTCCGACATTTAAAAATAATATTGACCAAAGGTGGACGTAACAGGCCTTTTCCCACCAGGTAAGGTTGGGCAGGATGGCGGATGTGGTTTGCCAATGTGGATCACAGGGAAGTTGTTTGGAAGCAATCCCCAATCGCTCGGCTTGGTTTTGCAAAAGGCTAGCAAGGAGTTTTCCATGTTGCCCTAGATTCAGCACAAATCTGACATTGGTCTCCACCAGTATATGACATCATTATAAAAGGTAAAGTTTCCCCCTTGACATTAAGTCTAGTCGTGTCCTACTCTAGGCGTTGGTGCTCATCACCATTTCTAAGCCGAAGAGCTGGCATTACCCATAGACCCCTCCTAGGACATATGGCCAGCATGACTGCATGGAGCTCCATTACCGACTCTAGGTGTTGGTGCTCATCACCATTTCTAAGCCGGAGAGCTGGCATTATCCATAGACCCCTCCTAGGACATATGGCCAGCATGACTGCATGGAGCTCCGTTACTGACTCTAGGTGTTGGTGCTCATCTCCATTTCTAAGCTGGAGAGCTGGCATTATCCATAGACCCCTCCTAGGACATATGGYCAGCATGACTGCATGGAGCTCCATTACCAACTCTAGGTGTTGGTGCTCATCACCATTTCTAAGCCGAAGACCTGGCATTATCCAYAGACCCCTCCTAGGACATATGGCCAGCATGACTGCATGGAGCTCCGTTACCGACTCTAGGTGTTGGTGCTCATCACCATTTCTAAGCCGAAGAGCTGGCGTTGTCCATAGACACCTCCTAGGTCATGTGGCCAGCATGACTGCATGGAGCTCCGTTACCAACTCTAGGTGTTGGTGCTCATCTCCATTTCTAAGCTGAAGAGCTGGCGTTGTCCATAGACACCTCCTAGACCATGTGGACTGCATGGAGCTCCGTTACCTTCCCACCGAAGCGGGAGCTATTGATCTACTCACATTTGCATGTTTTCGAACTGCTAGGTTGGGAGAAGCTGGGGGTGACAGCGGGAGCTCACCCCCGCTCCCCAGATTCGAACTGCTGAACTTTCAGTTAGTAAGTTCAGCAGCTCAGCAGTTTAACCTGCTTTATTTATTTATCGTGTCATGAGCAACCACACCATTGTATTACATTTCTAACAGAAACAAAACAAACAGATAAATAAACGCAAATTTTGCAAACTTGGTAGTTGATTAAATGTCCTTTGACCAGTATCTGGCCACTTAGAGTGCCTCAGAAGCAACCAGAAGTTTAACCTGCTGCGCCACCGGTAAATGCGCAGATGAGTTCCGTCTGTCAGCTCCAGCTCTCCATGCAGGAACATGAGAGAAGCCTCTCACAGGATGGTTATTTATTTATTTATCATGTCAGGAGCAACCAGACAGTTGTATTACATTTTTAGCAAAACAAACAAACAAACAGACAAAACACAAAGTTTGCAAGCTTGGTAGTTGATTAAATGTCCTTTGACCAGTATCTGGCCACTTGGAGTGCCTCTGGTGTTGCCGCAAGGAGGTCCTCCATTGCGCATGTGGCAGGGCTCTGGTTGTATTGCAGCATATGGTCAGTGGTTTGCTCTTCTCCACACTCGCATGTCGTGGATTCCACCCAGTAGCCCCATTTCTGAAAGTTGGCTCTGCATCTCGTGGTGCCAGAGCGCAGTCTGTTCAGTGCCTTCCAAGTCGCCCAGTCTTCTGTGTGCCCAGGGAGGAGTCTCTCATTTGGTATCAGCCATTGATTGAGGTTCTGGCTTTAAGCCTGCCACTTTTGGACTCTCGCTTGCTGAGGTATTCCAGCAAGTGTCTCTATAGATCTTAGAAAACTATTTCTTGATTTAAGTTGTTGACGTGCTGGCTGAAATCCAAACGGGATGAGCTGGAGATGTCACTGCCTTGGTCCTTTCACTATTGGCTGCTACTTCCCGGCGGATGTCAGGTGGTGCAATAAGCTAAGCAGTGTAATTTCTCCAGTGGTGTAGGGCGCAAACACCCCGTGATAATGTGGCACGTTTCATACCCTAATTAAACCCTAATGAAATACCCTAATGAAACAGGATGATAATATATCAATAATCCTGGCAACGTCCTTACAGGTGGTCAATTCTCTCATACCAGAAGCGACTTGTAGTTTCTCAAGTCACTCCCGACATGAAAAAAAAATGGTAGAATGCTAGAATTGGAGGGGACCCCAAGGGCCATCCAGTCCAACCCTATTCTGCCATGTAGGAAGACACCACCCAAGCCCTCCCAACAGATGGACATCCAGCCTCTACTTAATAACCTTTAGAAAAGGAGACATGAGCCCCTGGTGCTGCAATGGGTAAATCCTCCTGCCGGCAGGACTGCTGATCAGCGGTTCAAAGCACGGATTTGAACCGCTGTCAGCTCCAGCTCCCCATACAGGGCCATGAGAAAAACCTCCCACAAGGATGATAAAACATCAAAATATCCGGGCAACCCCTGGGCAACGTCCTTGCAGACGGCCAATTCTCTCACACCGGAAGTGAATTGCAGTTTCTCAAGTCGATCCTGACACACACATAAAAGAGAGGGAGACTCCACTAGACTGCAGGACACTTGG